GTCCAGAGAAGAGCAACAAAGCTGGGGAGGGGTCTGGAGCCCAAGGCTGATGGGGAGCAGCTGGGGGAGCTGGGGGTGTTCAGCCTGGAGAAGAGGAGTCTGAGGGGAGCCCTTATCACTCTCTACAACTGCCTGAAAGGAGGCTGTAGACAGGTGGATGTTGGTCTCTTCTCCCAAGTAACAAGCGATAAGATGAGAGGAAGTGGTCTCAAGTTGAGCTAGGGGAAGTTTCAATTGGATATTACAAAAAATTTCTTTACTGAAAAGCTTATCAGGCACTGGAAGGGGCTTCCCAGGGAAGGGGTCGAGTCACCATCCCTGGGGGTACTTAAAAGATGAGGTGGTTTAGTAGTGAGCAGGTATGGCTGGGCTCGGTGATCTTAAAGGTCTTTTCCAGCCAAATGGTTCTATGATTCTATGACCACCCCTTCATCTGCCCACTCTGCGGCAAGGGCTTCAAGCAATCCAACGCCCTCTCCTCCCATGAGTAGGTGCACACTGGTGAGCGCCCCTTTGCAAAACCTGAGGGAAGACCTTCAAGCAGTTTTCCTACCTGGTGATCCACGAGTAGGCGCACATGGGGGGAACACCCTTACAAGTGTGAGGTGTGCAGGAAGGTCTTTGCCTGGCCCTCCTTGCTCCTCCAGCACCACCATGTGCACAGCCAGGAGCGGCCCTACAAGTGCAGCTCCTGCCACAGGTCCTTCAAGGACCTGGCCTACCTGGCTGTGCACAAGAAGATGCACATGGGCAAGACCCCCTAGAAGTGCAGTGTCTGTGACAAGGGCTTCGCTCACCCCTCCAACCTGCTGCAGCACCAGCGTGTGCATTGCAAGGGCTGACCCCCAGCGCCGCAAGCGCAGCCACAGTGTTGCCAGGCCACGGCAGCTGTAAACACACCACCACCGACAGCAGACAAGCCCCAGGCTGGGAGACACCATACGTGTGCCCGAGGACCGGTGCAGACCCCCACAAACCTGGGTGTTTCTCCTGAGCTCCGCCCCTTCGCCAAACCTGAGCCTGCAAACCTGGACCTGCACATGCTCTCCTCCTCCCTCCAGCAGAACCCTCCCTGAGCCCATGGGCCAGGGCAGCTGCAAGCTCCTGGCACGCCTGCCGTGGCTCCTGGCATTCTCCAGCTCATGGCACACTGCTGGTGGGCAGGCAGGAGCCCTCTTCTTTGCCCTTGTGTGAGGAGGAGGGCTGAGAACCCACCTTAAGTCATCCCAAGACCCCCTCTCCAGTCATCCCAGTGAGCAAGGCTCAGCCTGGGCTGGGGTGTCCAAGGGAGTCAGCGCATGCTGTTGCCTGCAGGAAGGGACAGACCTGCCCAGTTTTTGGGAGGGAGATATGAAGATGGTACAGGCAGTGGAAAGGATTATGGGGAAGAGCGAGGAGCAGGCACCTCCCATTCCCCCTGAAGCCTTTTTGGGTTCAAGTGTCCGGTCCATATCTCATGCTGCTGCTAATGACCCAGTTAAGTTACTGTTCCCCTGTCCCTTTCTCTCCTTCTTCCTCATCCTGGTTCTTCCTTCTATTAAAAGTATAGAATCATAGAATCGTTGAGGTTGGAAAAGCCCTTTAAGATCCCCAAGCCCAACCATTACCCTAACCCTGCCATCCCACCACTAAACCATGTCCCTAAGTACCTCGTCTGCCCAGCTTTTAAATCCCTCCAGGTTTGGGACTCGACCCCTTCCCTGGGCAGCCCCTTCTAGTGCTTGACAACCGTTTAGGGGAAGGAATTTTTCCTAATATCCAACCTAAACCTGCCCTGGCACAACTTGAGGCCATTTCCCCTCATCCCATCGCCCATCACCTGGGAGCAGAGCCCAACCCCCCACCTCACTACAGCCTCCTCTCAGGCAATTGTAGAGGGTGATAAGGTCTCCCCTCAGCCTCCTCTTCTCCAGACTAAACAACCCCAGTTCCCTCAGCCGCTCCTCATAAGACTTGTGCTCCAGACCCCTCACCAGCTTCATTGCCTTTCTCTGGACATGCTCCAGCAACGCAATGTCTTTCCTGTAGCGAGGGGCCCAAAACTGAACCCAGTATTCAGGGTGCAGCTTCACCACAGTAGTTCAGGATGGAGACAGTCCACACCTCTGCTTTTCCTCCAGGTCTTCTACACCTGTCCCTACACAAGCATTTTGACACATGGTTAATGTAGCATCAGGTAACTACTAGGGTGTTAAAACAACACATTTTTTACAGCACAGTAACAGTCACTCTTTTTTACAGAGATCAGTCTGCTTTTAGATTACCTGTAATTGATCAGCCAGCCCTACTAGTTTTTTGGGGTCCATTTTCCACAGCATTATAGAAAGCTTCCACTCTCTGAAGTTTTCTAAGTGGTCTTTACACTTCTTTTTGCTTATCATAGAGTGTTTGACCACAGACAGCATAAATCTGCAGCCCCACCCATTTTTATTTTCTTTCACTGTACTGCATTTCAAAGGTTAATATGTAACATTTGCAAACAAAAGGATTAGTTTTATGATCACGGTTGCAGTGGCTGACAGGGGCCAAAGGTACCAGCAGCCTTCTGAGCACTGCCACACACCTGTGGATTCCTTTAAGGAGCAGCTGCATTTCTGGAAATCCAGGTTTGTGTTTCTCTCTGTTGAAGCAATGGTTTATTTGGCTGCTTCTGTAGGGAAGACCTCTGAATGTTTCTTTAGCCCTCTGCTTCCTGCAGGCTTTGTGTTGTGGTGTGGTGTAGTGTGGTATTGGTTGCCAGACATTTTGGATGTTGTCCTGAAAGATCTGGGGATTTTCTCTGCTGAGCTCTGGTTTGTGTGCATTTTTGCATGGTGAATTGCTGCTTGGGAGCAAGAGAAAAACCTCAAACATACCCTCCTACCTAGCTATCCTGAAGCCACCTTGCTGTTAGATGTGGCTTTGGGGTCAAGTAGGGTCGGATTTAGTGGAGAGAAATCAATGGTCTGACAGTGAGAAGTGGATGTACAGACACTTTGGAAAGCCCCAGAAGAGCATCAATATCATGTAATGGGAACAGATCCCTTACTGCACTTCTCCATTTTGTGGTTTGTTTTTTTTTTTTCCTTTTTTACTTTCATTTTTGTTGTTTGTCCTTCTCTTTCTCCCTGCTTGTAGCTGCTGTGCTCAATGTCCAGAGTTATTCTTCCTATTCAGGGTGTTTGTTGCAGTCTTTACATTTGCTATGGCATTGGCGTTGCAGTGTCTGCAGAGTACCTGGCAGGAACTTTAAGCCTTGCTGTTTATTTTCATGGCTTATTTTTTCCTACTTGTTTTGCTCTAGTCTAGTCTAGTCTAGTCTAGTCTAGTCTAGTCTATTTTTCTGTTTTTCCTTTCCTATTTCCTTGAATCCCAAACAACTCAGCTCTTGTAGCTCTGTCAGACTCAGCTGTGATACAAAAACCCAATGTGAAACAATTTCTGTAGTTATCTTGGCAGCAGAGGCAATCCTGAAGATGCTGTGTGAAGGCTCAAAGAAAAAGAGTAAATTATGAAAAAAAAAAACCACCAAAAAATGTGTCAAAATCTCAAATTTTAATGGCTCTAGGAAGGGACTATAGTGTGCCTCAAAAAGATAAAAGAAGTCAGACTCATATTATATGTCATTAACTAGCTAAGTGTTAGGCTTCTAACATAATTTAGTGTTGTGGTTTAACCCCAGCTGGCAGCTAAGCACCACACGGCCGCTTGCTCACTCCTTCCCCCAGTGGGATGGGGGACACAATTGCAAGGATAAAAGTGAGAAAACTTGTGGGTTGAGATAAAGACAGTTTAATAGGGAAAGCAAAAGCTGCGTGTGTTGTGGTTTAACCTGGCCAGCAGCCGAACACCACACAGCCACTCGCTCACCCCCCGCCCCGCCAGTGGCATGGGGGAGAGAATGGGAAAAAAGGAAAACCCATCAGTTGGGAAGAAGACAGTTTAAGAAAACAGCAGAGGAAAAGAACAACAATAACAAATAACAATAACAATAGCATATACAAACCAAGTGATACACAATGCAATTTCTTGCTGCCCTCTGACCCATGCCCAGCCCATCCCCGAGCAACGATCGTGGCTCACCGGGCAACTGCCCCCAGTTGGAATACTGAGCATGACATCACCCAGCCTAGAATAGCCCTTGGGCTAGCTGGACTCAGCTGTCCTGGCTGTGCCCCTGACTGAGCAGGGGAAGCTGAAAAGGCCTTGCCTGGTGGAAGCGCCGCTTGGCAACAACCAAAGCATCAGGGTGTTGTCAACGTTCTTCTCCCCCAAAAGCCAAAAGACAGCGCTCAGCCAGCTCCTAGCAAGAAAACGAGACACATATTTTTATATATGGTTTTATAGCCATACATGAAGAGAGAGAGACTGTGGGTTTGGATCTATAAATCTCAGAAACTTCTGCTTTAACATCCTGGTTAATTTAGAAACTTTCATTTTTACTTTCATTTAAAATATTTGAGGAAAAAAAATGGTTATAGTCTTTCCAAGGTGAAATATTTAATTTAGAAAATACCAATGTGTCTTTATTTTCAATTTTATTTTTTTTAAGGCATAATTTATGTTCTGGGATTTTATATCTCTATTATCTTTGCCTTTTAACTCCAAGTCCTGTTATGGGTTCTCCTAACAGGACACATGTCTGCCCAGCTCAGGAATTGCTCACTTCATAACCACTGACTGTTATCAGTGTTGAAATGTCTCCAGGCAGACCGTAAGAATGATTGTAGGACTTCTCTGGCTGCTGAATCGCTCCCCAGGTTCATCTGGGGTGCAACAAAGCACGTGGGTCGTGCACATATGCAGACAACAAGATGTCGGTGTGAATCTGGAAATTATGCAACTCAACTGTGCAGCACCCCACATCATTTATTTTGCATTCAAACATAGATTTTTCTCTTCCACTTAGATATGGGGCTCCCAGTCCAGCTGATAGTGGTCATCTTTGTCTTGGTATTGGTATCTACACAACATCCCACTGCAGGTAATTTTGCTCTGTAATGGATTAATTTCACTCTGTGCTAAATCAATTTCAGAGACTATGAATAGATTGGAACTGATGCCCCCTATGACTTTCTTCTCCACTGAAGGCAGTCTAGATTTAGATGATTTCTTTGGCTTTCATGTGAACAGATATATGTTCTGGGATTCAGTGTGCTCAACTGTAGGCATTAAAACTAAGCACCTGAGAGCTATTTATCTAAGGTATCTGTGCGGTCAATAGGAGAAGACAGGCATAACACAACTGATTTATCTCAGATTCACGTCTTCCCAGGGAATAAATCACTCCAGTGGCAGTTTCTCCATGGCATGAATCACTCCAGTGGCAGTATCTCCATGATTTCTTACAAGATGATTGCCTCAATGAGCTACTTATCTTTTAGTCAGTTAAAGTTTGGTGAGACAAACATACCAAGATAACCTAATGTTGTCAATACTACAATGGGAGGTGATAGGTAATTTTGATATGTATGATGCATAGTGGCGTCGGATGCTTGTAATTTGAAATTGATGGCTTTGTGTTTCTGTACTGGGTTTGCATGGCAAGGTTGTTTGGTTTTTTTTGGGGGGGGGGAGGCGCTACAGGGGTGGCTTCTGTGAGAAGCTGCTAGAAGCTTTCCCTGTGTCTGCTGCTGGCTAAAGCCAAGCCAATCAGTGATAGAGCCTCTGTGATAACATACTTAAGAAGGAAAAAAACCTGCTGTGACACAGTAGCTGGAGAGAGAAGAGAAGTGAGAGGATGCGAGAGAAAAACCCCTGCAGACACCGAGGTCAGTGCAGAAGAAGGGGGAGGAGGTGCTCCAGGAGCCGGAGTGGAGATTCCCCTGCAGTCCGTCGTGAAGACCATGGTGAGGCAGGAGACCATGGAGGTCCACGGTGGACAGATATCCACCTGTAGCCCATTGAGGCCCCCAGCCTGGAGCGGGTGGATGCCTGAAGGAAAGAAGCTGTGACCCTGTGGGAAGCCTGCGCCAGATCAGGTTCCTGGCTCGAGTTGCTGACCCGTGGTGGGAGGAGCCCATGCTGAAGCAGGTTTCCTGGCAGAACTTGTGACCCTGTGGGGAACTTACACTGGAGCAGTCTGCTCCTGAGGGACTGCACCCTGTGGAAATTATGGACCCACACTGGAGCAGTGCATGAAGAATCATAGAATCATAGAATCATAGAATGTTTAGGGTTGGAAGGGACCACTAGTGGTCATCTAGTCCAACCCCCCTGCAGGGAGCAGGGACACTGCTAACTAGATCAG